CTTGCAATAACTGTTCATGCTATTGCTGCAGTTTTAGAGGGGGGAAAAAATAAAAGTCATGTAATGCAATTGATAAAATTCAGCAGTGCCTGTGATTGTGCTGCAATAAGAACTCTCGCCCTTTCCAAGCAGCAAGTTTGGATGACTCCAGTGAATTTTCCTGACATCATCCTCCTTCTTCTTAAAATTAATGTAACATAACCTTATTTCACACTGTTCCACCAGTGCAGGAGCACCAGAAAGCTCTCCTATTGGGCATGTGACCATCCTTCCATATGGGGAAGCCCTAGGCTGGCAAAGAGCTGGCTCCATCCCAGACTCCAGCAGGGTAATAGGTGTAGTCTACATGAAAGCAAGCATGCCCGAGAGGTGTGGGGCTCCACCGCCCTCCGAGCAGTTCTCTCACTGCTCTAATCATGCATTGGCAAGGGAAAGCAGGCATCCAAACCATCATTACTAAGTATACCTGAGGAATTACGTCAATATATCTGCACCAAATCAACCTAGACAGAAACCTGCAGCAACTCATTAAATAAAAAGCTAAATTTATCCATTTCTGTTCTTGCAGTTCACCAGCAGTGTTATGCCCACTGCACTGGCCCCCTAGATTATCAGAACTTTAAAACATGTAAAAACTCAGCCCAGGTATTTCAGAACTGAACAAAAACTTGCTTGTATTTTATCTGTAATTTCTCACTATACACTTCCCCTTCCTGCAAAAGTATTACTTTATGCTTAAAAGTATCATCTATTTTAGGCCTCAAAATGCTTTATACATGTTGCTAAATAAGTATTTACAAAACATCAGTAATGTAGTAAAGTATTAAGGCCATTCTGTCTTCTTGTAAACTCAGATCCAATGCAACTGACTTCTCTAGGGTCCCACAAAAACAGTTAGGAGTTTAACTCAAGACTCCCTAATCCCAGTCTTCTATATTAAAAACACACAAGCAAGAAAAATGTTTAGGTTTTTTGCTAGCAATACAAAACATTTTCCAGTGTGTTACCATCTTTCTGCATGTAGTATCAGGTAATATGGGCATGCAGCCTCACTGTTTTTTTCCAAGTCATAAATGATGAAAGGGTAAAACCCATAGAAAAAATAGGAAAATACACTTAGCAGCCAATACAAGCAACACATAGGAAGTGCTGTAGGCAATTGGGTTTAGAAGTATAAACATCACATTAGCAGACCCATGAGATAGCATGATGTAGCCACACCTGGAGAGTCACTCTCCTATTCCCCTCCCAACCCACTAATGAAAACAAGTCTGAAGCCAAAATGGGAAGATTCAACTGTACATCATTTTTGATCTCAAAGGCTAACTACATCAAACAGACATAAAATAAGCCAGATTGACTTCAGCCAAAATATGTTTCCACTTGAAACAAGATCGAGGTCTGTCTCGAAAACTCTGGGATTTTACTAGAGGCTGTAAATCTGTTCAGCAGCTGTGGGTGGCACCAGTTTCACAATAAACTGGACTATGGAATAAGTAGGAAAAGTCCTAGGTAAAATAACTGAAAGCTGAACAATGAAACAATCATCAATCATTCACGGCTCTTTCCTGTAGAAAGCATGTGCCCCTATTATCTGGATACCACAGTGAAATATTCACATTAGTATCCAGTTCACAAAATACCAAGCATTTTCATTAGCTAATCTTAAAAAAAAAAAAAAAATCACACACACATCACACCCCACAACCACCTTTTTCCCAAGAAAAGCAGTTAAACAAAAACCAGTTAAATTAAAAAAAAACTGGTCTAAATGTTAGATTTCATAACAAAAGTAAATGTCTCTATTCCCGTCACTCTGAGAACACACAGGTCTCCAGCAGCTGTTCTACCTCAAGGTTGGCAAATTAATCCTCAGAGACTGTTGGTGAGGCCAGGGGCACATGGAAATGCAGACAGTGGAAACTCACCTGTGGGTGCTCCACCCAAATCATAACACAAATTATTCTAACACAGGAAAGGCAAACCAGCCTCCAGCTTGTGGCTTGTATTAACCTCAACGCCACACAAACTACTGCAACAAAGAATCCCACTACAGGGGTCACGTCTAACTGAAACTAGCTGAAGAAAGTCAACTGTTTGATCCTAATGAGGCAAGAGCTCGCTGATCATCAGAGCACGTTCCAGCAAGAACCTTACAGTTGATGATTCAGTCACCTAGGGGATTGCAAAATACATATCTTCCAGTCATGTCCCTGCAAATATCATCGACTGTAGAGGAGAAACCCCCTCACAAGGCTGCTACTAGTCTGATCTGTGGTACAGAGCTAAGGCCCACCTCAGCATCCCTTTCACAAGCCATCCTCTGCTCATCTCTTCCTCCTTGCTACATATTCCCACCCTTCCAGCTCTTGCAGAATGATTTCACATCATGAGTGCTTAACCTGGTTCTGTCAGAATGATGTAAAGCATTGCTGTTTCTAGGCTAATATGGGTCATTTTAGCAGAACCAGAGTAGAAAGCCACTACACACAAAATTACACCTCCATATCTGGAGGAGGAGGAGGGAAAAGGCAGAGACCAAGGGAGGAGCAGGCTGGGATAACAATTCCTTAATCTGGCTCAGCTCCATGTCACCTGATCACAGTCTCAATAGCACTGCCAGCGAAAGGTGGAGCTTCTATGAAGACTTCCAAGCATGGTTCTTTCTTTCTTTCTATCTGGCTAGAATAACAATCCTGAGCTTGGGCTGAATAAATCATGGGGGGAAAAAAGGGAACTCGAAATACCCCTGCGGTTGTGAAAAGAATGCATATTATACATAAGGCTCCCAGAAGGGAAAAGAAAACAAACTAAAACCAAAGATAAGCATATAACTCAAGCCCAGCAAAAAAATGCCTATATGGCAGCTGCGACAAATTTAGAGGAAATAATGCATGATTTCAAAATACTACTTTTCAATTCAACTCCTCACACAAAAATTCCTCAACCACTTTCAGTGCATTAAAATAAGTAAATAAACAAATAAATGCTGTCAACATAAAGAGTGCCAGAGAGCTGAAATTTTGTTTATGTTGATGAAGATGATCATGGCAATGTAGTTTTCCAAACCATTAGGAGAACGTTATGGATCAACTCTGAAACATGCAGTCTGTCTAACCTGCTTACATCCTCCAACATCGATTTAAAATTCACACAGACTCCAAAAGCCCATTCTTCCACAGTGAACGGCATCCAACATTACAAGTGGTCTTTTTGATTTGTTGCCAGTAGCACAGGTTCCTACTCTGCACTTTTTATTTACTAATATTTTTTAAATATATTGCAGTCATAGCAACAACAATGTGCTTTCTATGGCCACAATCCTGCTCCCTAAGAAGTACCCATTACATGGAACACCTTCAAAAACAAGTCAGATACAGTTTGGGTAAATTAAGGAGATGCTGCAAGGGATCCTTGATGGGACTGCAGTAACTTGTATGCTCCACAGTCCTCACTCCCCTCTTAGAGGGAGTTCACACGCTGCTCTAAGGAGTGGAGATCACTGTCCAGGACGCTGCACAACCCCTTGACCTCATTCTGCCTTTGTTTCTTTGACTTTTCCTCTGAAGGAGCTGCATGATTTTGGGGAAGGGGATCATGATCAGGTCTGGCTTTCTTCAGAGGTTACATCCAGTAAGCCTTTTCCATTAACCTCATCCGTACTTGGCCTCAAACAGGCAGCTTTACTATCACTAACACAAGTAGATCTAACAATATATGTGGATTGAAACAACGACCTACTCATGAAGAACCACACTCAAGTGCCATTTTGAGAAAATTCTAAGGCTCAGCTCAGGATTCATTTCAGAGCTGAATATCTCACAATGAGCAGAAAAGATTATCCTTTGAAAACTGAGCTGAACGTAAGCACACCTCATCATGGCAAGAGAAAGTGATCTTCCCTGTACTGAACAGATTTGCTAGTTCCACCATTTAAAATCTGAAAAATCAGACCTTAATCTAGTCCTATCAAGCACAAACTTCATGTGATCAGACTCTGTTGCCTTCTCTGCTCATGCTGGAATGGAGGGAGTTAGGTTAGAAGGACTCAAAAAATAAGCTTATTTTTTTCAAAGCCAGAGTGTCTTTGTTTCCCTGATGCAGCACAAAAAGAGATGAATGACCATGCCTGATTGCTCAATGCAATACTTTGTTTACATATTTGACATCTTGTTTAAAATAGTTGTATGTGTCATTTTTTTTATTAAGATACACAGATACCTAGTACTGAAAGAAAATACTTGCAACAGAAAGAAAACATTGAAAGATTCTTCAACAACTGGACTCCTTTTCTTTTCTTGTTAGCAAGTAAGAACATTTTACAGGACAGAGGAAAAAAAAACTCAGAGCAATGAATGGAACAGCAGTTTGAGAATCACTACTTAAATCAACAGTTTCTATCCTAACTCTATAAACAAAGTAATTCATCACTTCTCTATAGCAGTACCAGACTGCTTCCTACACTGGCCAGTAAAAACCACAATCAAAGCTCCTCCTCATTTTCCCTCATTCATCTTTTATTTAAGGAACACTGGCCTCAGAGTGTCTGTTCTTCTCCTTATGCCATTTGCTATGGAGGATATAACTTGTGGAAGGAAATAAAAAGGTGCTTTACTTTCCCCTATAGGTGCATAAGGCAAGCAATGACCTAGCCCTACATATGCTATATATTACAAAGCTGTTATGCTTGCTCCAAGTGTCTCTTTTTTTCTTCTTTTTCTGTCTTTTTTGAACACCATATGGTACTATTTATCTTTGTGGGTACAAATAAAAATAAAGACTTCTTGAAACCACACTTGATTTATTCCTGACCACTGTAAAATCAGTAATAGAATACACTGTCAAACCACTGGCATGGAATGTGAATAATGTCTATCCTGCATTCTGATTTATCTCTCTCTCACACAAACACGCAACTACATTAAAGAACGTGAGGCAAGAAGAAAGAGTCATGCTGAAGTTAGGATTCACTGTATGCAGCTATTGCAAACACCAACTACCCAAGCAAGGCTCACAAATTCAATTGTTCTAACAGAAGGTCTCAGGGCATTGACAATGATGGGCCAGAGGACAACAGAAGCAAGAAACTTCCTAGACCAAAAAAAAAAGCATACCGTTCCAAAAAGCCAAAGAAGTGAATCAGTACTTTGACACAAGGTACTGCAATGGCTGGTCAACTAACAGTACTGCCTAGGTTACTAGCAGCTACTATCCAAAAGAAGGAGGGAGTAGGGGAACAAAAGCACCAAAAAACATACTTAAAGTCAGGTGCTGATTCTTCCAGCATTTACCAGTCAGATAGTATTTCTAGAATTAGACCCTAAACTATTAAGGTTCTTCATCAAGGTAGCAAATTACTTATGAAACCACAATATTTTAAAGCTCTGCAGTCGAATATTCATATTATCCCAAAGTGCTTAGATCGCTTCAAATGGGCACATGGGAAATTTGTGATGCTCAATTTGTGGTTAGTTACTAATGCAGCAACATTTTGCATTAATGAAACTCCTGATGTGCATTAATTACTGTATTGGCTTGGAACACTTTTTTGTGCCTATTAGTTTGCTAATACGTAGTATAAAAATAATCATGTATGACTTGTGTTGAGTAGGGAAATGTAAGCTGCCGCTCATTTGAATTTAGAAAAAAACAGACTATATTAGGAAACCATGCAGTTTCTCACCACTGTCTCTCATGTATGAGAAGATGCCATTAACAAAACGCATCAGCACATCTGAGTTCCTAGAAATGAACTTACCTTGGAGTCCCTAGAAATCGCTGTGATCTCAGTTGTTCAGCCACATACAAAGACGCTGCTGTTGCCAGTAGTTCTCTTCTTTCAAGATCTGTCAACTTGTGTCCTAGTTTTCAAAAATCAGTTAAAAAAAATTAGATACTAGAGGCCAACACAGACACAAAAAGTAACAACTGCCAGTAAAGATACTGTTCAGTCCTTATACATGAAACCTACATTTTTTTGCCCTAAATTAAGATGAGGCTCAGCACAGCAGACACTCTGAGTTTCAAAGTTTAAATTGCACGTTTCCATACAGATCAGCCCTACTGCTAACACTGGTATCTCTGTTAAAAACAATCTGACAACTGAAAGAAAAAAACCTGAACCATGCCGCAGCATCTTGTTTTTGTTACTGAAATGTCAATGGTTGACATATTGTGCCTCATGCTGGTAAGGAATCCATCTGTACGTTAGGACTTACTCAAAAATATACAGCATTCTTTCTCAGTACTTTACCTTGCAAAGGCTACAGATCTTCCAGGCAAAAGGGATAACACAACAACATAAACCACAGAAATAAATGTGGATAAAACTACTGGTCAGCCCTGGGTCACATACTGCTATTTGTGTAATCATTAGTTAGTGACTAAATGGAGTCAAAGTCATGTTTGACATTTCACAAGCAGAAAATGGCTCAACGTAGCCTACAGTCTGAAGGCAGGCAAGCAAATAAAGGTTTGGACAAAAAGGTGGAAACCAGGGCGACTGGAAGCAGGTTTGCTCCATTTCTTGTTCCAGAAAGTTAATTAGGAATTCAGTTCTCCATTCAGCAGGCTAAAAGACAGAGCACAGTGACAGAACCTTTAGGTCAAAAACCACACAACAGAAATTTCGTATGAGAAGCTGGCAAACAGCTGGTCAAGACTGGTGTCACCAGAGAAGTAGAACAGTCAAAACTTGATGTGAGAGGGACCAAAAGGACAAGTAAAGTAATTAGTGCATAAGGCAGTGGCAGGAAGCTAAAGTCGACGTAGGACAGGACAAGAAGTGCAAAGATGAATTGTCATGAAGAAAAAGAGGCAAATTATCCTCAGGAAAGAGATTCTGCACAGATGAAAGCAAGGGTGTTTCAAAAGCCAGAGGAGAGGAAAAGGCAATAAATAAAGCTTAAAAAAAAAAAGGTAAGACAAAGATTTACCTGGATGCAGTTACATCAGAGCTCTCAAGGAGTGCTTTATACAGCTGCTCTCTTGCCCCAGTAGCCCTTCATGTGTATGTACCACAGCAAATGCCATCATTCATGGCAAGTACAGATCCACATGAAGGGATGGGGGAAGAGGTGGGGAAGGGGTTCAGAAGGCTGTATTACCCTGAGCCACTCTGCCCAGTACGGCATGTTTGCTTACAGTCCTGCAGCAGAGAAACAGTTACACAGTTCCCTCCTACACCTCCACTCTTCCATCATCTCAGCACTAGTGCATGCAATGCTAACTCTCATTCCCCAGTGCTGGTTACTAGTGAGTGACAATTTCTACCAGTAGCATTAAATAAGACCAACACAATCCTCAGTAAAACCCAGAATGGAGACCTCTGAAAAGGACTGGAGCAGACTTTACAGTAACAAGTGCACAATTTCAAAACAGGACATCTTCCACACAAGACCCATCCTTCCACTGGGAACATTAAATATGGATAGGTAAAGAGGCTGCTTAGAGTCCGCCTCAGCATCATGCCGTGCTGATGGAAACACACTCATTACAGCTCCAGATAACACTACAAAGGAGCTGTCAGCGGATAAAAAAATGTAAATTTAAAAATAACAAAAGCCAGCAAATCTGCATCAATTTATTTTTAATTTAGTCCATATTCACATATTCTGGCTAAAGCTTACTGCAACTTCCTTCACTCAGGGTTTATTATTTTTTATCTGCCTTGAAATGGAAACTATCTTTAATAAGCGTATGAATAAATATGAATGTTGAAAGGTTGAGGAACTGGCTTGAGAAACTTGATCTTCCCTTTGCCAGTTACTAGAAAAACTGATTGCAAAGCAAAAGTAAAAAACTGATGAACTTTTGTACTATTTATGCATATATACAAATACATATATGTGTATATATAAGCCTTATACAATTATACAATCATAGAATCACAGAATGGCTAGAGCTGGACAGGACCTTAAAGATCATCAAGTTCCAACCCCCCTGCCATGGGCAGGGACACCCTCCACTAGACCAGGTTGCTCAAAGCCTCAGACAGGCAATGCAATAACATCAACTAGCTAGCTCTGAAATGTGATGGTTTCCCAGTTGTTAACACACAGTGCGGAAGCTCTGAGATCATTTTTTCAAAACACTGCATCTAAAATTGGTGATTTGTTTACATGTCCCAGCTAAAGACAGATCAGGAAATCTATCCTAAAACCTTTGCTTTTCAGTCACCCTGAGTAACACCCATGACAAATCCACATGACCAAAACTGCATGTTCCTACCTGCTCCAACACACACTGGTACTATCAACTCATATAAAGGAATAAGGTAAAACTAGAAAGATCCCAATTTGAAGGTTTTATTGCCTGACCTTCATCTGGGATTAAATCAATAACTGCTTTTGCACTTGCTGTGCTGCAAAAACTATTTTCTCCATGTATCTTCAATAAAAATCAAACTACAAACAGTGAACAAAGGTCAATAATTTGAAACAGGTTAACAACCAAGAGTTATGTTCACCTCTTCATTATGAGAAACATGAAAAAAAATGTTTATCTACTTGTTCTATTTGTCATTATTTGCATTTCTTGTGGCACAGACACGGCAAGCAGAAAAACTGTAGCATCCACTGTGGGCAACTTGCATTTATTTTCCTAAGTCTCAGAGATAATGTAAACTGCTAACAAGAACATACCAAAATTAGGTTCTGGTCTTTGGCAATATACATACAATCTTACCACTGAATGTCCGTAGCATAATTTTGGAGGCACACCTCAGAAGTTTGATTAAAGGCTGCTTCCTAAGGATGGCAATTTGCCTTTATTATACAAGACAGACTGCCTTAGTTCTCTGAACTCCAGCCCCACTTCCCTCACCTTCTGCTCTTGCTCTGCTGCTATGCTCAGCAGAATTTTAAGCAGTTTTAAAGTTAAATTTTCAAATACATTACTATATTTGGAAATGCACCAATGCACCAGATAGCACTACCTTTGTTTCACTTAAAGTCTTATTTTACCTTCGAAGCAATCCCTCAAGATTTCAATTAGATGTCTTGAGGTTTAAGTTAATATTCACCATCAATAAAGATATAACAACACGACCTTTCATGTTCACCATGCAGAAGATCAATCTGAAAAGCAACAACGCTACCCCTGGGGCACTTGTTCAAGTGCTCCCTTAATAGGGAGTGAAACAAGTAAGTAGCAAAGGTTCCCCAGCATCCAACATGGCAAGTTCTGTCATTGCTCTTTCCTGCCTTCATCACTGCAGATGCCTGGGCTACACAAAGATTTCATCTCCACTATAAAAATGTAAATCAGCTCCCAAATTTCTCTGCTCAACCTGGGATATAATTCTGCGTTTTCACTGTCATCACTGAACTGAATTATACAAGGTGAATGTATAACAGGATTAATGGCTATAAAATTAAGTCACAACCGAAGGAGTGGAAGCACTGTTCTTCATGTTATTTAAAACTAGACCACACGCCATCTATTACTACTAAATGACAGAACCCTGGTCAAAAGGAAGACAAGGAAAAAGTACTTCTGTCTCATTTCCCTGATGTTATGATTACTTAAATCAATATTATCCCAGTATCCCCCAAGCTGAGTCAAAAAGGTTCATGCAATTACTTTACATAACCAACTTCAAATTAAATTACATAAAAGGTCATTTTTCCCATAACTCTCATTTGCATTTTGTCCTAGAAATGTGTTTCCTACTATCAATTACAGGGGGAAAAAAAAAAAAAAAAAACCACAAACACAAAAAAACAAACAAGCCCTGGTTATGTGCCTGGGTCTGTTAATACTTGAAAAGTTACTGTTTTCTGATTGGGAAGAATAAAAATTAAAAGCAAAATGTGTAGCATAGAAAGTACAATGCATAATTCAGATCCATATCAATGCAGGCAAAGTTTCTATCATTCCTAGGTTATGTTTTGGCTCGAGTTTTTCCCCAAGGGATTTTGAATTTGACCATTACAGATGGCACGTATACCAAGTAGGCTGAGGCAGAAAAGAAAGTTGCATGTTACTTGAGGTTTTCACTTCTTCCAAAGTCCAGCAGAGCTTTGCCACCCAGATGGTATGGTAAAGAGACAGACAATAGTTTCTGCATATACAATCTCAAACCATTCAGAATAGAGAACATATGTCTCAGAGAGCTCGTGATCACTTATAAGACGGATGCTATAGCGTACAGAAAGGAAACCCTACTATTTGTAATTATAAAGGGATTAGTGACTAACCAAGAAATGTTTCTTAGCCTCACCTGTCAGAAAGAAAAATGTCAGGTAAGCTATCTGTTAAGTCAATTTTTATAATCCAGTAGCTTCATAAAATGAAGACAAAGGTTAGATTACAGTGGGGAATTAACAGCAACCATCCTCTCCCTTCTAACAGTATCACAGTCAGGGGAAGCCATATCTCCCCCTCCAACTAATAACAAAAGTCTCCAGACTTAAACTTAAAAGTCATATCTGCAGTCCCAATTCACCTAAAAAGTGCTTTTGTTCATAACAGAATCATGGAATGACTGAGGTTCAAGTGACCTGGGGAGATTTTTAGTTTATTCAGTGTGGCCCCCCACCCTGAGCAATCTCAACATCAAATTCAGACCAGGTCGCTCAGAGGTTTGTGCAGTCAGGTCTTGAAAATCTCCAGTTTGTGTGTATCGCACTGAAGAGTCTGGCTATGCCTTCTTGGGAACCCTCTCAGAGGTGTGAAAAGGCTGCTATTAGGTCCACCCTAAGCTTTCTTGTTTCCAGGCTAAAAAAGTCTGTTCTCCCAGTCTCTTCCTCATAGGTTCTCTGTTCCAACCCCACCACAACCCCGGTGTCTCTTTGCTAGACTTACTGAAGTTTGACATCTTTCTTCAGAAATAGAATATAACAGAATCATTAAGTTTGGAAAAGACCTCAAGCATCATCAAGTCCAACCGTCAACCCACACCACCTAACTCACCAAACCACGTCCCTAAGCACCACATCTACACGTTTCTTGAACACCTCCAGGGATGGTGACTCCACCACTTCCCTGGGCAGCCTGTTCCAATGCCTGATCACTCTTTCAGTGAAGAAATTCTTTCTAATATCCAGCCTAAACCTCCTCTGGCACAACTTGAGGCCATTTCCTCTTGTCCTATCACTTGTTACTTTAGAGAAGAGGCCAGCACCCACCTCACTACAACCTCCTTTCAGGTAGTTGTAGAGAGTGATAAGGTCTCCTCTCAGCCTCCTCTTCTCTAGACTAAACAACCCCAGCTCCCTCAGCTGCTCCTCATAAGACCTGTGCTCCAGACCCTTCACCAGCTTCGCTGCCCTTCTCTGGACCTGCTCCAGCACCTCAATGTCCTTCTTGTGGTGAGGGGCCCAAAACTGAACACAGGATTCAAGGTGCGGCCTCACCGGTGCCGAGTACAGGGGCACAATCACCTCCCTAGTCCTGCTGGCCACACTATTTCTGATACAGGTCAGGATGCTGTTGGCCTTGGCCACCTGGGCACACTGCTGGCTCATGTTCTTATATGCATGAGGGGTTTAAAACTGGACACAGTATTCCAGAGGTGGTTTAATAAATGATGAAGTGGAATAATCAATGCTTTCAACCCATACAATTATAACAAACACAATGTATCTAAAAGCCTTCATCTCATACACACTATCTGGAGCCAATACACAATCACAGGAGAGAGGTGTTTCCTCTTTCTTTCCTTCTATACTAGAAAGTATTTAATATAGGATTGTCTATCAGAACTTCTGCTATTCCTTTCCACTCAAATGAGGTAAGCATGCTACAAGAGGGGCAAGTAGAGGATTCTTTTTCTTTCCTCCCTGAGCTTTGGTATGGGTTTTGTGATAATCTCTTGGCAAATGCCTCATTTCTCATTTGCATGGGATGTATCACCCAAAGAGACTGACCAAGCATTTGAGACCTCATTTAATAAGCAGGAAGAGAAGACCAATAAAAAAAAATCTCAACATTCAGATATCCAGGAAAAGATGGATTAATTGTGAAACAGACTGAACCACAAAGAACGATCCAATGGATAGGGTACTAACCTAAGGATCCTCAAGTTTAATTTGTTCTTTACCAAGGACTCCTCTTAAGTCTTTGTGAAAATAGAGATACTTTATGTGCCCTTAAAATAGAGATAATAGATAGAATATTTCCTTCTCACCAGGCAGGTTAAGTAGTACAGAGGCATCCCAGGCTGCTTGGAAGCTGCAGAAGGACAGCTCATCTGTCAGTACTCTAATAGTACGGTCTACTCCTGCAAGCATGGGAAATATTTTTATTCTGTGAGCAACGTGCTTGAAGGCCACTCTAAGACGTATGTACTCATGTCATCTGACCTAATCAGTGTTGCTGCACCAACCCTCAGATCTGCACTCCTCCCAAAACATGCATGTGTGCTCAGCGCAATAAACCATTCCAGCTGCCCCACTCCCAGCCAGCATTCTAGCCATCCTTCCATCATGCAGATGACAAAAGGGTATGACAGCAGCTGTTTTCCCACACTAATCAGACCCTGAGCAAGCTTAATTTTAGCCCAGAAATATTTTTAAAATAACTTGCAATAAACAGACTGGTTTTGTTAATGAATGTTTATTTAAAGAAGGGAAGAAAAAGAGTTAAACCCTAATCACAAAAATTACTAAACATTCCTGTTTTAGAAACAATTTGAAGTGGGCATCACAGGTTAATGGAAAAGCTGCCAAGATATTTAAAATAATTTTCTTCTTAACTTAGAGTCAAAGCCTTCTAGTAAAGGACTTATAACGAAACCCTTGAAAATGAGACTGGAAAACAAAGTGTTTCTTTATTTTACTCTTAAGTAAGACTAGAGCTAATATTTATATTTGTAGAAAAATGCATGTACGAAATGGGCCAGTACTTTATGCAGTCACCAGAAAGAACACAGCTGACATTCATTACTTACCAGCAACATAGACCAACAGCAGCAATTCTGTACTTTACAAAGGAAACATGCTGGGTTGTGCTCAAACATTAATACAGCATGCATCATCACTCAATTTGTTTATTTCTTACCTATTCCAAATTTAAAAAAAACTTCTGGTATCTATTTCTACTGTTTACAACGGCACATATTTCTAGGTATTTATAAATCCACTTTGGCTACACATTGCTCTAATTTTTCAGATTATCCTCGATCTTTTTTTACAGATGCATATCTTTTATAGACAATATTAAGATATATGAAGCTACTTAATTTTTAAATCCTCTTAGCAAAGTTTACCATAGGTATTTATATAAAACGGTTAGTTGAAGTGAGTAAGGGATTAGATTTCATAAGTTAATTTGCCTTTCTCTTGCCGAGCTTCTACCCATCATCTGCCCACCACCCTTGCTTGCCTTCAACTACTCTCATTCTGCATTTGCAGAAATATTTTTCAGTAGGTACTTAAAACTGTCTTTTTAAAAAAGACTGTTAAAAAACAGGCTTTTTTTAAGCCTTCAGGGTCTGATCCAGAGCAAACTAAATCATTAAAAGGGCTCTCAATTACTTTAGTGAGCTCAGAATCAGTATTCATGAAAAAGTACTCTTGACTTGAAATACAAATGTTTTGTAATAATGATATCTGCATTTTTTTATCATTAAGAAGGCTAATATATTCTTGTATTTGATACACGGAAGAAGAGTGAGACTTTTCTTACAGCAGGAAAAAAGTCTCGTCTTTTCACCTGTCCCACTCATTAGTTCCTATTATGAACTGTCACAATATCTCTTCTTGTGTCTTCCGGTGTCTAGAGCAAAAGCTTATCTTTAAGACTATGTAAATGCAATATTTTACACTATATTACAGTTTACCTCAGACTACAACACTAATCAGCCATTTGCATCAGTGTGCACGTGCACAAAAATAAGTGCATATACAGTTCAAGTCAGATGACCCCAAAACAAATTTCTTACCATCCTACAATTTGTGGAACAACAAGTAACTAACTCATTATATATAGGCTAACATTGCAATACACAATATTAAAATAAGAATAAAAGAACAGAAGATAAGAGTGCCTTTCCATAGTCAAAAATACAGAGCAAAGTGTCTCCTCCTCAAACACCAAACCCTGTCCCAGCTTCTTACAAGTGATCAAGGGCTCCAACAGACACATTATCACAAATAAAGGTAGAACGGTTTATGTTGTTATTGTTCCCAGTTACGTGTCGGGTGAGGCTGCCTTTTCACAAGATGTTATAAACTTATCTAAACATCTTGCGTTCTTGCCCTTGTTCTCCATTCGCTTCTCCCCATTCCTAGCCTGCCACTCACTTTGCACATCCGCTGAAGTTCACCAGATTCCTTCATGAGATAAGTCAACCCAAGTACTCTCAATAAACTACCTGAACAAAAGCTGCAGCAATTAAAAAAAAAAAATTAAAAAAAAGACAGTTTTCTGGTGGTTTAGGGAACCAAATCCGCTCAGGTAGAAGACTGAAAAGTCCCAGAACTGTCAAGGAGACAGGACATGGAATTTCATATGAAAGTGTCAGGGAAGGGAGACCAATCAGCTAATCAGCAGCACTGAGGTTTCAGACCAGATGAGAGTACCCTCAAGTCTATGCTGGATGAAAGCCAGATGAGTTATCTGAGTTTAGTTAAGTATACCTTAGCAAAGACGATGAACATTTGAACTTCAACCATCACAAGCTTACTGCCACCCAAGCTGGCTAACTCTTATTGCTTTGGTTGCAGTCATGAGCCAGTAACAAGCTGGATGCATTCATCCCACATGTAGGACTGTATCACATAGAGTTGCCAATTACCCCATGATATAAAGTAGCTCTGTGGATTAATATTCTTTGCACCAAATTCTCACACTGAGTCCTGCGGTAAGAACAATCTGTTCTGCTCCTCAATGAGACCAGAATTTGGTAAGGTGCCAGTCATGTCCAGTGACTGCCAATATGGCAGTGTTGTCTCCAAACGGGGACAAGGATTCTGCCACACTGGATTAACGATGAATGGGGAAGAAAGGGATCTCGATGGAATTCATACAGGACCCATGAATGATAAGCTACAAACATGCTCTTTTCTTTTTTTTTTTTTTTTTTAAATAAGGAAGAGGTTCCAGCTGATGAATACCAGCTGAGGTGTGAGGCCTGTACGGAAGGGCTGAGTCTCTGACCACATGGGTCAAGAAAGCATCTACAGCAGATTGGCTGAGAGAGAAGATAATCTTTTACAGTTTGCTCCTCATGAAAGGAAACTAATCTATTTGTTTACTTACATTTCTCTACCAACTGTTGTTCCACATTTTTGAAACTGAGCTGTTTGGGATGTTGCAAAGAAATATTTGCATTTCTGTTTATGTTAACTTAGCATATGAATCAATAATTTCAAGGTGATGTCCATTACTGCATGTAATGAGTATTAAAGACCAGGTTACTGCATTACTCTGATAAAATGCCAGATCCTCCAAAACAATCCTATAGTGAATACAAAGGATGCCAAAAGGCAATTCTAAAGATGCTACACAAACTCAGTGGAGAAGTGAAATAGTGCTAAATAAATCTTATCTTCAGTTAACAGTAGGAACACTGTCTGTAATGAAGCGCAATAGCATAGCAGAGTTGAACTGATGTTTATTTTACATATTTCATACCACCTACAAATTGTTTTTCTTGACTTTAGATGTACTTCATTTACTATTTGTCACTAGAAGTAAGTATTTTGCTTACTGAAAGTCAAGAAAGTAACTATTTCAATTATATTATGCATTATTCAAAAATGTTAACCGCATGTATGCACAGGTACATTTGACAAAAAAAAGCAAAGACTGATTGGGGAATGTGTCAGTCTATAAATATAAAGGAATAATAACCAGAAACACCACCTCCCAAGAAAGAAAAAAGAAACATTTCCAAATGGAACAAACCTTTAAAACCATCAGGATAGACTTCAGGAAGGAATTTAGTGCTGATGTCTCCTTGTACAAAGCGTGGATGGATGATCACTTCTCGCAATAAAGAAATATTGTGAGCCACACCTGAAAACAAAACATAAATACAATATCAGGTAAACACATTAATCATAAATTACAGCAGGAAGCAACCTGTAAAAATATGAACTCTTATCTTTGCAGAATAAATACTTGTTCACAACTTAGAGACCATAGTACTGATGTAATTAATATAGATTTACCAGTTTTGTTCCACTTCTGCCTCAAGATACCTTCCTTAAACACTCCGTTTAATTAAAAAGTAAACCTTCCAAATTTTCACCTCACCAAGTTTAATTCGAACACCTAGTTAAGTCAGTGCCAGCAAGTACAACCAAGAGACTTTTGGTTCAGTCCTAGCAGATGTAGGCAAGACCAGAGACATCTCCTTGAAATGACAGATTAGTCATGACCATAAGTACCAGCTCAATTCCAGTGAACCCTGGCCTATGTTGTCATCCTGCCACCTTACATACATACTCTCCCCTGAAAGATACATGCCATATTACACCCCAATCACAGTAATGAAAGACAATAAAAAGTTTTATCACATCTAAGTCCTAAGAGAGTCCTGTGGAACTTACAAAACAAGAAACCTATTGTTTGCTCCGTATACACCTTTATCCAACCTTGCCTGGCCAATTTTTTAATTCAATGCCCTGCTTCCCCTTCAGCACCATTCCATGATCCTGCTAGGCATACAGCCCGAAAAAACCCATCATTTCTTTAATTAAAAAATTACTTATCATAGAGCCCTTATAGCCACCTTTGTCCTTTAATTTCTTTGACTATTATATTTCTCTTTTTTTCTGAATTTCTTTATCTCCTTTCATTCCACTTCTCAGCCCACCTCCTCTTTCTTTTTTTCATATTTTTAATTTGTTTCTTTTCCCCTACTTTTTGTGCCAACAAAGACAGACAACGTCTAACAAACGCAATCTAAAGTTACACAGCTCAAAGGATGCTGCCAGTGTTAGTCTGGTAGTTGCACACAAAAACAGTAAATCCTCTGCCCCTTCCTCACAGATGAGTACAAGACTAATTTGTTTACTCAGAGAGGAAAGGAATAAACCACATCCCATTTCCAGCATAGGCTGGAAAAAATATAACCAGTAGTAGATGTCAGCACAAGATACGTACTCAAGATAGTTAACACTGGAAAAAGACTAAAATTCTGGAGTCAGTGAAAATGTTTCAAAATGGGTTAAAGAAACACCTGTCAGGATGCAGATACAGTTGCTATACCTTAGTTCAGGCAGTGAGACTAGGTGACTTTCTGAAATCCTTGAAGTTTTATTTTTCTTTGAATTTAACAGGGCTGTGTAACTAACTTAATGTTAAACTGCACTTTGCCAGAAGTACTTGCATTTTAGCACTAAATATGATGGTCATTAAAAGTCATGTCACTGAAATATTAAATACAATGAAGTCTCTATGGGAGGCGGGAGAGGAAAAGAAGTGCAAAAAAAAAAAAAATAAAAAGCCCTGAAAAAAAGCCCTGAGCAAAAATCCTCAGATAATTTAAATTGTCTTCTGCTTACTGCAGTCCAAACAACTCTCAAAGAGAAGACACCCTCTCTTTTCAGAGTAGCACACAGGTCATCTCTGGAAAGGAAAGTTTAAGATTATGAAGGTAAGACCTCAACTCTCCTGTGAATTTTGGAAAGAGACTGTAGCAGAAAATTTGGAGAGCCACCACAGCTCAATCCTAATATGACTACACAGGATAATACTGCCTCAAACATTAACATTTCCCAAGAGAAGCTGAACTAGATGTGCAATTCTGGGAGCATAAACTGTAAGCATTGGCTGCAGCTGTTGCATCCTTTCCAGGTATGGATAAATGAGGAAGCTGCTATAGGAAAGACATTACCCAACCTCAGCTGTGCAGTGTGCACATTCTCACCCTTCAGGAAATACAAAGCAATTCAAGTTCTTTCCTCTCAGTGTCAGAGGGACAGGCAACTTTAAATCACATTGCATTTTCCAGGTCACAAGAACTTCAGTGTTAGGTACAAACCATGAAGTATAAAATGCAGAGCACATCACAAACTAGTTTTCCATGTAAATATTTGTCTGCGCACCCATATGTCTTGTAAAGCACAGGATTCTTAACTTCAACTTTAGAAACGTTTACTTACAAGTTATTATGATTAATACAGTGATGACATGACTCTGAAAGTTACTTGCACATTTTTTTTTTCTAATAGTTCCAGTTTAAAATAACATGAATAAGAATTCATTGTAAACTCGGGCCTCTCAACTGTAAACTAAGCTATTTGGATCTTTTCCCCTATCGAGATCTCACCAAAGCAAAAACACTAGCAGTAGTACAGCGACTGCCAATTGCTGTAGCTACAGAAGGAGATTCTTTTGCATTCCCACTTCTTTTCCCTTTGTGTTTTTCCAGTTTAGAAGCATGAATAACATTCTTTTTATTTTATATGCAGACCAGTTCAAACAGTTTCAAAGCTTTTTTCCCCTACAGTCTGCTGCTGGTGTGAATTTTCAAGCTCTCTGTGTGGCCACCAGTGAAAGCGCTTTCAACACACAGTCAGACAGTCTCACTGAATCATGAAGTCATAGCATAAAGACTAGTTCATGAGCCATTAAGTAGCACATTACACAACCAGTTTAATGATGACAAGACAAAAATTTAACCATTTGATTAAAAGAGGGTCAGCCTCCGTCCTGCCTGTGACCTAGATTGTCATTCATGGACCCTGATTTCATAAACACTGAATGAAATTCACATGGCATCTCCACTAAACAAAAAAAAATTTAAAATCTTATACTAAATGACTATAACTTGGAAACAAAGTCTTTCTTTAGCTGCTACAAAATCCCCCCATTTTAATAGTAAGTTGAAATATCAGAGACATTTTTATCTATTAAGTACAGCTTCAGGACTATAATTAGAAGAAAAAAGAGCAGCTCTTCAATGCTCCTCAACTTTGAATCCAAGATTTAAACACGCTACAATGTGTAACCAGATCATCTCATGTTTTTCTTTCCTGAACTGCTATAAGATCCCTGGTGAGACGATGGCTGATGACAGAGCTTGGTGTCTCAACCAACTGCCCCAAAAGACCTGAAATAAAAAAATGCTACGAGTATCTTAATTATTTCCAACTCACAGGCACCCGAAACATCAGAGGATTCTGCAATGCTTTAAGCTCCAAAATTCCTTTAACAAGCTCAATAGAGCAAACAAGCCTAGGTGTTTGGGAAGCAATACAACATATGTACTTTACACATGCAAATTAAAATTTAATATGCAACAGTTTCCCTTCAGAGTATCACAAAAGGCTATCCTTATCAGTCCCCATGATCATTAATAATGATCATGTAATAACTGCACGGTTGATCTACTTCTCAAAACTGTGTTGATACCTTTAGTGATGTTCCCAACCACATGGCTTTAAAAAAGCACCAGTGTAATCCTTCAGAAGTCTAGAAGTTTTAGATTTGCAATTTAGCGTGACCTCTGTCAAAGTTCATAAGGTCTCCATCTGTGTTTGAGTAACTGCTAGGCTACAGAAATATGGACCCCTAGAGCAGCTTGCTCCTGACTACCTGCTGCTTCCAAAACACTGGCCAGACATTAGCCCCACACTCTCACAGGATCAAACAGAGGCTAACAGGCAGTGCTTATTTCATGCAAAGTTAGACACTAAACTGAAGTATACTGTATTTATGTTGCAGAGGTTTTCAGGGAATTTTTCTTTTCCTTGACCAGGTCTGCAGTCTACCAGGAACAAAATCACATTTATTAACCTGACAAGCCACGACATTTCCAAACAACAAACAAAATTCTCAACTATACCAATTTGTCTCCCCTCCAGAAAACAAAATTTCACTTCAGCATCATTTATTTTTTACACTGTTAAGACTGATGCAGAACTGCAGTTACATTCTTCTTTTATCTAAGTCAAAATATAATAAAAAATAATAACCAATGTTCCTTGTACTTCTTTTTTTTTATTGCACTTGTCTGTATTCTTCATACAATATTACATCAGTAGAAACTCAATTTAAGATGTACTTCTTGGATTTCAATTTTTACACACTATTTTCCAGAATACATTTCTAAAAGAGAACTGATTAGCATTTAACTTCCAGAGATCTCATGAAATTAAAAAATATATATATATGCTTGTATGTTTTATATATAACAAATGTGTATTCCTGAGGTTCAATTAATTTTCCAGTTAAATTGCAGTTATTGCCTAATGAATACACGAGCACACTAAATAATCACATTGGTCACCAGAGCTGACTAGTAACCACTATTTGAAGAAGGTCTCATTAAGAAAAATAAAATAAATTATGATCAGAAGAAATTACTCCCCATACTGCCCGTTTCTTTACTTTGTCTCCTTCCCTTCCTCATTCTCTGGATTATGTCTACCTTAAAACCTTGCTAAATATACCAAATTTTTCATTAATTTACAAACTAGTCTAACTCCTAACCTGCCTTCCCCAAGACAACATACAGGAAAAAAAAAAAAAGACAAAGTTAATTTTATAGAAAATAAAAATGTTATAGCAGGTTTATGAACAGGATACCATCACATTTTTACTCACCAAAAATCAGGACTTGGAATGCCAAGGCACATAACCATAGGCAATGTTTTCACTATAAATATTTACTGACACTAAACATATTCAGTGTTGATTAGCCTTTTTACAGTATTAAGCTTCTGTCATCTTGACATCTGCAAACACAAATCTGCATTTATCCGTGTAAACTTAATTGGAGTCCTACGTGCCTCTCTGTAGATAAGCACTTGAATATACCTAACTTGCTGATAATTTCAAATTGTGCTAAGTGGAATTGAAACAACTTTAACTTACTGATTGCAAAAACAACGTGTGGCGTACAGTACAAGAGGTTTCTCTTTTTTTATAAAACAGCAAGTTAAATTACCACCAATCAATTTAAATGCTGAAGAAGAATAAATACTATGAAGTTTAGGAGGCATCCCATTTGATTTCTCTAACCAAAAAAATAAAAAAAAAAATTAACCATGCTCTGCGCTAAGCAT